CAACATAAGGGTATTGGCACCTATGACTTAGGTATTGGTACCTCCTTATTTAAAACTTATTTTTGGCTCGATTAAGGTTCGAAATACTTTGTAAAAATTGTTTCAAAAACATTTGAAGTATGAAACACAATTTTACACTTAAGGATTAAAATGACCTTTGAAAAACTTGGAGTAATATTTTTGATATTCGAATAATTTAATCAAATATACTTCAAAAATGATTATAAAATCTTGAAATTCAATAACACTTAATTTGTTATATCGAAACATCAAAATGTTTCAATGGATAAACTATAGAGTTTATATATGAACTATTGAACTATATATAAATTATATAGTTTATTAATATAAAATATATATTTTATATAAAAATTATATATGAATTGTATTTAAATATATACAGATTATATTTATATATTATGCATAATTACAAATTATATATACTATGTATAAATTATATAGTTGAAATATTAAGTATATAAGTTTGTATATAAACTATAAATTATATATATATATATATATATATATATATATATATATATATATATAGTATAATTATAAAGACTAAAGTATATAAGTATATATATATATATAAAGTATATAAATATAAAGTATAAGTATTTATATATAAAGTATAATTATAAGACTAAAGTATATAAGCATATAATATAAAGTATATAAGTATATAATATAAAATATATAAGTATTAATATAAAATATATAAAGTATAATTATAAAGACTAAAGTATATAATATAAAGTATATAAGTATATATATATATAAAGTATAAGTATGTATATATGTATATATATATATATAAGTTTTAGTATAAAGTATATATACATATATAATAATATAAAGTATAAGTATATTATATATATATATAAAGTATAATTATAAAGACTAAAGTATACAAGCATATAATATAAAGTATATAAGTATATAATATAAAGTATCAAAGTATTAAATATAAGTATATAAGTATTAAATATAAAGTATATAAGTATATATATAAACTATAAAGTATATATATATAAACTATAAAATATATATATATATAAAGTTTTAGTATAAATTATGTATACATATATAATAATATAAAGTATAACTATATTATATATAGAGAGAGTATAATTATAAAGACTAAAGTATATAAGTATATAATATATATACTTTATAGTTTATATATATACTTATATACTTTATATTATTATATATGTATATATACTTTATTTAATTAAATATGTGTATATATAAATATACTTATACCTTATATATTTTATATATGTATATATACCTTATACTAAAACTTTATATATATATATATACACTTTATAGTTTATATATATACTTATATGCTTTATATTTAATACTTATATACTTATATTTAATACTTATATACTTTATATTATATACTTAATACTTTATATTATTATATACATATATATACTTTATATTTATATACTTATATACTTTGGTCTTTATATTTATATTTATATATAACATACTTATACTTTATATTATTATATATGTATATACACTTTATACTAAAATATATATATATATATATATATATATATATATACTTATACTTTATATTTAATACTTATATACTTATATTTAATACTTATATGCTTTATATTATACTTATATATATATATATATATATATATATATATATATATATATATATATATATATATATATTTACTTTATCTTTATTTATATTTATATATATATATATTATATATATATATATATATATATATATATATATATATATATATATATATATTATATACTATATTTATATTTATATATATATATATATATATATATATATAAAATATAATATAAAGTATATAATATATATAAAGTTTTAGTATAAATTATATATACTTTATAGTTTATATATAGTATATATATTATATATACTTTATAGTTTACATTTATATATATATTTATACTTATATTTTTTTATATATGTATATTTAAATAAGTATATATATATATATATATATAACGTGTTAATGTATTAATCTATGCATAAGTATAATGTACATTATATATACATGCATCATATTATCATAACATTCATTATATATGTTGGGATTTGCAGGAGCTCGAATCGACAACATGAACGGTTTGCAAAGAGGGGTCGGAACAGTTTTGTGTTTAGGAGTAAGAAAATTGAAAGATAGAAAATTTGCACAGCGATTTATAGTGGTTCGACTTCTCAACCAAGTCTACATCCACTACCTTAGCTCATCACCAAGGATTTTCCAACAAATTCACTAATTTGTTCTTTCTTTTTGAGGAAAAAGAGATAACCTTTACAACTCCCTAGTTTTTCACGGGATAAACTAGAACCTTTCCCTAGCTTTTACACGGGCTTAGCTAGAACCTTTCCCCTTTACAAAAGGATAAAAGAAGTAAACAAATAAACCTCTTTAAGTTAGGTGTTTACAAGAATTAAGCTCACAAGAACAGAAATATTTACAAGAGAAAGATGAAATAAGAATGGAAAACTCTTCTCTTGTGTTTGATTGCTTGGATAGTTGTTCTCTTACTTCTTCAAGTGTCCTCAACTTGTATTTATAGCTTAGAATGTGTTTGAAGTCGTATCTAGCCATTAGGGATGTTTTAGAGCCATTTGGGGATGATTTTTCTTCAAAAATAGGATGCCCATAACATGGGGTATCGGTACCCCTTAATAGGGTATCGATACACCTTCATTAAATTCAAATTAAACTAGCCGTTGCAGCCAGTGTATGGATACACTCATAGGAGTATCGGTACCCTTTTTGCATTCGGTGTTTGAGCAGTCATAGGTGTATGGATACACCTGCAGGGGTATCGGTACACCAGTTTATGGATACACTCATAGGGGTATCGATACACATTTGTATTTTTGCTCAAATTGAACTCAATGGACTTTGAATTATTTTTGAAACCTTTTTAAAACTTTGAATAAATTCAATTCAAGTCCAAAAAACATTTTGCCTTAAATTTGTTATATCGAAACATAATTCAACAATATATATATATATATATATATATATATATATATATAATATGATGCATGTATGTATAATGTACATTATACTTATGCATAGATTAATACATTATATATATATATATATATTGTTTTAATTTTTCCCAACTTTTGAAATTAATGTAATTCAATCTATTTTACAATTTTTCCTCACATTTTACAATTTTTTTTATTTGATTCTTTTATGTTGTTTATTGTATTTAAATTTTAATTTGTTATTTCATATTCGTTCAATTCAGTCCTTCAAATTATATTTGTATCTGAAATTGACCTATACTTATTTATATTTTTGTAATTTACTTAAAACCCTATAAAATGTAAATCACATAATAAATTTCTTTTCAAATTATCTTCACCAACTTTTAAAATGTATATAATTTAGTCCATTTTTTTATATTAATATCATCTTCACATTTTATAATTAATTCAATTTCATACCTCATCAATGCGTGTTATTTAATTTATTCAATTTTTTATTTCCAATTTCATGTTTGTTCAATTTGGTACTTTATATACATATATAAACTATAATTATAAGTATATATGTATATTTCTATAATATATATTATAATTGTTTTAATTTTCCCCAACTTTAATTCAATCCATTTTTTAATTTTTCCTCACATTTTACAATTTTTTTATTTGATCCTTTTATGTTGTTTATTGTATTTTAATTTTAATTTTTAATTTCATATTTATTCAATTTAGTCCTTCAAATTATATTTGTATCTGAAATTGGCTCATACTTATTTATATTTTTTTAATTTACTTAAAACCCTATAAAATGTGAATCACATAATAAATTTATTTTCAAATTATGTTCACCAAATTTTTTAAATGTATGCAATTTAGTCCTTTTTTATATTAATATCAGCTTCACATTTTATAATTAATTCAATTTCATCCCTCATCAATGCGTGTTGTTTAATTTATTCAATTTTTTATTTCGAATTTCATGTTTGTTCAATTTGGTACTTTATATACTATATAAACTATAAAGTATAAGTATATATGTATCTGTATATATAAAGTATAAAGTGTAAAGTATATAATATAAAGTAATAAAGTGTTTGGATATAAGTACTAAAGTATATAAATATAAGTATTAAATATAAAGTATATAAGTACTAAAATATATAATATAAAATATTAAACTATATAACATAAGTATTAAATATAAAGTATATTAATGATCATAATTAATATATTAAGTATATTTATTATTAAATTATCATAATTAATATTTTATTATAACATTTAAAAATGAATCATATTATTAGTATGATTTATTATAAACTCAAAATCTTACAATTTTATTAAAATCTTATTTTTAATGAAGGTAATATATAAGTCAGGTAAATGTCAAGTTAGATAAATATCATATCAGGTCAATAAAAAGTCGGATCATTTACATGTCAGGTTCATAACAGGTCAGGTTGAAAACAAGTCGGTTAATACTAGTTATTTACCAGATCAATCTCGGGTTCAGGTTCATCTCAATCGGATGTCGGTCGGGTTCGGGTATCATATTTTCGGTTCAATTTGGGTTGAGATCGTTCTCAGGTTGGGTGTAGGTCAGATTTAGATCCACAATTTTCAGGTCCAACTCGAGTTCATGTCAACACCAGTTTCGACTCGAATCGGTTTCGGATCGTCACAACGCATTTTACACCCAACAAATAATTTTAACTCAAGTCGGTTTCAGTCAGTTTTACAGGTCGGGTCAGCATTTTACACCCCTAGTCACTAGGTGCAAGCCCTGATGTTTTACCCCAACAAATGCACCCCACTTCATTTAGCTGCCAAGGGAGGTCATTTAGACACCGTGGAATGCTTGTTAGATGCATCTAATTACACCAAATACGCATTGAACAAACAAGGGAGGATCCCTTTCGCACTCCTTTCGAAAACGACTGTTCGAATGTGCATGATTGTTGCAATTAAGAGATGCTTTGAACCGTGCCGCAAGGGTTGGGGATGTGAATGGGATAAAGAGTTACATAGGTAAAGGGGCGAACGTGAATGGGAAGGACCAGAATGGGTGGAGGCCTCTACATAGGGCGGCATTCAAAGGCAAACTTGAGTGTGTTCGGACTTTGCTCGGATACGGTGGCAACGCTAAACTTATCGATGACAATGGGCATTGAGTGGAGGCAAGGCATGTTGAAGTTGCTTTGTTGTTGATCGGACACGGTGCTAAAGCTAATTTGAAGTCTCACAAAGGTATGGGGATGAGGGTTGGTTCCAACGGTTCTTCTAAGAACCATCGTTTTTATCAGAGTTGTATCGTTCAGCCTTTGCGTAATGATGAGAAGGAACGAGCTTGATTGATAATTTGCCTGTTTTGTATTTGTTTTTTCATATTTGTAGTTGTGCAATTCTGTAAATTTTCACAGTAATATGGTATTAACCGATGGCGTTACTGCTACTTTAAAACTGCTATATAGTGTAACATTAACAGTTTATAGCGCACAATGGTAAAAACTGCTATACAGTGATCCTTTGAAGAACTAATAAATAAACCGTGTATATTTTACTTACTGGTTAAAGGAAGAATCGACCTTCTCAAGTAAACATTGGACTTCAGTATCATATCTTTGTATGTTACAAGTCAACATTTTTATACCATGTTCATATATATGCAAGTGAGCCGCGATCGTGGCCAGGTTGAGGGTGACCGCGAGTTGGCGTTGGTGGTCTTTGGATATTCAGCTCCTGTGGTGCAATATAAACATAATAAAATACCGATGTAGATGCAGTGAACAAGTAGCTTTATTCATCGGTGTTTATAAGATTACCTGCATCCATTTGTCATCTGCAACCCGTTCTGGTGATGTTTCTGGGGACTGAAAGGGAGGTGGCAAGGGATGGATCAACTTTGGGACTATAAACAATCCTCTACCGACCACTAATAGAGCTCCGGCATTGTTCGCGGTACCTGGATGCATCTACTGGATTAGGCAGCAAAAAGATTAGCCTGCACTAGAATGTGGCTCAATGTGGTTTACGTACCGCAATAATTAGTTGCAGAGAAAAGAGTAATTAATTGACCCTGAGCAAATCGTTCGAATCCATCCATTACACATTCATGAGCCCTTATAATAAGTTGCAGGTTGTTTTTCTTACAGAAGTCCGTCACACGATCAGGCTGCATATGGCAACATAAATTATTCTAGGTTCATATGCATAAAAGTTCAATCACCTTAGTGCTCACAACTATAATATGGATTATGTGAGAATAAGAATGCGATAGTTCTGAAACAATAAGCATTTAATGAAATAATTTAAAAAAAAAAAACAGGAAAAGACTATCCATCGAGTAAATTCAAACTAAAAAATTCGAACCTTGGTGCCAATCATTATCAGCTCCTATAGGGGAAACGGCAATAAAAAGATTCACTGGGTTAGTTGGTCTAATGTATGCAAATCAAAGAATGAAGGGGGTTTAGGAGTTCTGAATCTAAACTTGATGATAGAGTGCTTTTAGGGAAATGGTCTTGGTGGTTTGCCAATGATAGGGATTCAGTTTGGAGGGAGGTTGTTTGTGCTAAATATAGACTGGATTCTTCAGTATTAATGCTTGACAGTAAGATTCCTCCGAAAGTATTCTGGATTTGGAGATCAGTGCTAAATAATCATTTGAAAGAAGACTATTTTGGCTCCATGTTCGGAAGCATGTGCAGTTATCAAGTTGGTGATGGTAAAACTATTCGGTTCTAGCAAGATATTTGGGCTATGGATCATCCTCTTTTAATCATTTTCCCAAGACTTTTCTATTTCCTCAAATAAGGAAGGTAAATTATTTGAATTTGGGGATTTTAGCTCTTTCGGATGGATTTGGGATGTGAAGTTTAGAAGGAAATTGAATGATTGGGTGTTCGAACAGTGGTCTAACTTGATGGCTGTAATTTCGAATTTTTCCCTATCTATGGAAATGTACTGGGGATGGGGTGTATACTATAAGATCTGGTGTTAATCTCTGTTCTTCGGATTCTTTGGGATCGGAAGAGGTCTATTTTTGGAAGAAGATCATTTGGAGGGGTCTGCTGCCTCCAAGAGTAGAGACATTTCTGTGGTAGGTTGTTCTTGGGAAGCTGGCGGTTAAGACAAAACTACTTAAAAGAGGAGTTCAGGGAATTGAAGACGTGTTATGTCCCCTATGCAAGATGGTGGATGAGTCCCCCTCTCATTTGTTTTTCTCGTGTTCGGTGGTGTGGTCTCTTTGGAATAAATTTATGAATTTTTGGAGTATCAGTTCTGTTTTTCATGTTGATGCTAAAAGCTTTCTTCTAGCTTGGGATGCTATGAAGACTAACTCACCGATATGGCCTTTTATTCCAGGGGTTGTTCTTTGGACCACTTGGAAAATTAGGAATTTTGTTGTGTTTGATGGGGGAAGTTAGATAAGGCAGAATATTTCTTCTTAGCAAGATTTAGGCTTGCTTCTAGGTTTTTAGCAAAGCATACAAAGGTTTCTATTCCTAAGGACTCTCTTATTTCAGACCCTTCCTTAGGGGACTTTTGTTCTCTCCACACTAATCAGATTGTATCGATTTTTCCTTGGTCTCCTCCTCCTAAGGGCTTTGTTAAATTAAATGTTGATGTTGCTACTACAAGGGATTGGAAGAAAAGCGGGTTAGGAGGAATTTTAAAAGATTCCTCAGGATTGACCTTAGGTTCTTTCATGGAATCTGCTGGTCCAGGACCTCCGACCTTGATGGAATTAAAAGCTATTCTAAAGGGGTTGTTGTTCTATGCATATTTTCGAGAGCGGATCATGGACCGTTTGATTATTGAGAGTGACAGCAAGGTGGCAGTGGATTGGATCAAGGAGGTTAAATTATGTCCAGATGTGTATGTGTTTTTGGTTAAAGATATTGTTCACAGGCTTAATGTCTTTGAAGGTGTTGTTAGATGGGTAAACAAGACAACCAACTTAGAGGCTGATGCCTTAGCTAAATAAGGAATAGGCTGAGTTAGTGTTGTTGTTTATGGTTGTTTTTTGGGTTTTTGTTTATGTTAGGGGGTTTCTCTTGTATCTTATGTAATTTATTATGATGAATAAAATCCTAAGGCACTCTTTTCCTCCTTCCGCTGATTAAGAAGCTTCCCTACAAGCTTCATTAATCAAGAAGAGATATTTTAACGAGGCCTGCAATCCTTATCAAAAAAAAATTATCAGCTCCTATATCTATCAAATGTAAGTACTGATAACTATTTTACACATAAAGCAATAGAATTCGTACCCCAAAAGTGACTAGACCTGGACCTCGAGCATTAGGTCTCAAACCTTCTACGCTGTCATTTTCTGTTGGATCAGACCTGACCAGGCAAATGAAAGTTGGGATTAATCTGCGGAAGAATTATATATATTAGAGTAAGGGGTTGAAAAAATGCATACCATAATAGGTCCATTAAAATAATGGATCCTGAATCCATCGTTATTGGCCGCTCAAGTTTCTCTATCTGCTCAACCAAATTTATCGATCTTCCTATGCCGCCATGCATACAAATAATTTTCTTATCGATAAGAGCAGATAGTGGAAGATAGTTAAATAGTTGTTGAACCGTGTCCATGCCCAGATACCATCATTCTTCCCCTACAGATAGATGATAATAAGCACATTTTCTTGTTAAGATAAATAATCAATCGACATATGAATGCTCATTCAGACCATTCTCTCAATGCATTCAATACGAAAACCAAAGAGTGCATTTATGTCAGCAGCCTCATGGTTTCCACGAATCAAGTGAACATTTTCAGGGTATTCAATCTGCACAATCGTAACAAACAAGATAACTAATTCAGTAAGAAACAACACAAGTCACATTCATAGTTAAACTAAGGCTCATTCGATCCCGAAGCTTACCTTAAGAGCAAGAAGCAATGTTATTGTTTCCAAGCTGTGTTGTCCTCGATCAACATAGTCTCCTAAAAATAGATAATCAATGTACCTAAAAAATAACAAAATGCAATCGAATATGAAATTTTGGAGAAAAATAGCAGAACTTGTGATAAAGTAGGAAGTAAAAGTCGTATGCCTAAAATTTCAAATATGACTGGGAGTCATCTAACTTGCACCAGTAGGGTAACTACCAAACTTACGTAATGTCTCCAGCAGTTGAAGGAAATCCATATTCATCGAATAGCCGCATTAAATCACCAAACTGTCCGTGAAGGTCACCAAAGACTTTTACAGGAGCTTTCAACTGAAGCACTGTGGGTTCTTGCACAAAAATCTGTTCAGCAGCATAACAAAGCTCACCCACTTCATATGAATCCAAGAAAAACCTCCTATTAGTGGGGGCTTTCCAGTTTCGGGGTCGAAGCAATGTAGAAATAACCTGAAAAATAAATATAACATTAAACTACAATAATTTTTTTAAATAGAAAACAAATAAATTCATTTAATACTTGCCTTTTTGTGCAAGCCTTGAGGGGACCTCTGTCTTGCAAACTTTCTGGTAGGATAGGAAAAGTCATTATTAGAGGGAATCATCCGTCTACTCTCATTCTCGAATTGATCCAAGGATAGCTGCCTAACCATCCCACCCAGGTCCCCTACAGCCTCTTTAGCAACTACAACCTGAAGTAAAAGAACCATAAGAATATTATGGATTCACGCCTAGACAGCTATTCAGACGTGTTTGTGAAATACATACAGCTCTAGAATGAAGGCGAACACCAGCCTTATTACCAATAGCATCTGAATTTGTTTCGATAGTAGGTGAACCATCAGATGCATATGTTTTCTCTGGAGAAACAGCAGATGCAGCCTGTGCAGCTTGCCAGACAGCATTAGCTGCCTCAGCTTCAGCAGCAGAAGCCTCCCTCAGTTTCTCCATCGAATTTTTGTCTATGCTATAAGATAAAGATTTACCGTCAATCAATAATCCCATAGGTGGTGCTAATAAACTCGCATGAATGAGAGAGAGAGAGAGAGAGAGAGAGAGAGAGCTTCAAGTCACACCTCATGCCCCCAGACGAGTAGAACTCTGGGATGTCATCTGAAGCTATTGTTGGCAACAAACTTAAATTAGGTTGAATAAACCTAGGGCTGGTTAAATTTGAGGCTCTCTCAGAGGTTAATATAGGAGAATTGATATCGGACTGGAATGGTGAATTTTCTGCCACTAGGAAATCATC